AATACGGTGATACCCGTTTACTCTTCTTATGTCTCGTTTGTATTATAATTTTTACATACAGACACTTGTCACATTAGATTTGTGGGAAAATTTGGTGAGCGACGATCTTGCGGCACAAGTAACAAAGAAAGACTGTCGAATCATTCTTTCAGTATTCGATTAACAAAACTACTAGAAAATATTATTTTAACAATCTTTATTCAACATTTTTGTATTCATAATCAAGAAAAATAAAAGATTGCTGTTCTTAACATGAATATTCCTGCTTGTTTATATCCGCTGAACATAGTTGCTCGAGGAAGAGCATTTAAATATCAATAAATTTAATAAATCCTATAAGCTTTGTAGAGAAGTAACTCCTAAAGAAGTCCTAACAGCCCCTCTTTCAGTGATCTAACTTTGATGAAATATTTTTTTGCCCAAGAATATAACAGTCAAGAGCAACAATTGTTTATCAGGCAACAAAGTCATAAACTAAAAGTAGATAAGAATGAATAATTACATATACACATTTTATTACTTGGAAAAAACCCAACTCCTTTTAGCTCACCTGTATGTTTTATTACAATCATACTACGACGCAATTAAAAAGATAATTTCATCATTATCAGTAATAACAGTCCCATTAGTCACTTCAGATAACAATGTATAATTGATAAAAACCAGCCTACATAGATATATAAGTTTAAACTTATCAAACGACGCAATTGCCGAGCTCTATAAATATACAGGCAATGCTTTTGAATTTCTATCACAACATATTCAAAAGTTTTCTTCCTCACATTTACGTTAGATTGCACATTGAATAGTAAGTATGCAATGTCCAAAAATAATTAATCTTATAGTTTTATAGAGGCACTTTTTTTTCAAAAGAAAGCGTCGGTGCAAGTTTTTAGTTCATTGCTGCACATTTGTCAGACACCATGGACGAGATAGTCTCGATCATGTCTGTTCTAAACATACCGTAAAAACTGAACTATCAATTCTATTAAGCTTACTAACACTCTTTTGTAGAAAAATATTGTCTCTATAAGACTACATACTAGGAAGAAGTTTGTCATTATGTTTTTTGACGCATTTAGATCAAGTATAAAATGTTCAAAACTGAATATTGTATCTGGATGAATGTCCACGTGGGAGTGGTATTACTACTCTTTGTTGGAGTGATCGGTAGTCCAATAAGAACTTTCAGTAATCCACTGAATGGCAAAGGTGTGGATCTGTTTGTTGTCGTCGATGAAAATAATGCACACATGAATGTTATGCAATTAGGACTGTTAAAAACAACCATAAACAATATGGCTACCGAACTGAATCCATATGGGTCAAGGCCTCGATTTAGTATCCTTTTTTACGGTGCATCTTCAACAGTTAGTACTGTTAGTCTAGCGGCTACTACTGCCTCAGAAGTCAAGACAAGATTGGATCTGAAACAATATACAGTGACACAGTCAAATCCATCTAATTTGGTATCGGCTTTGAATAGTGTCGACTCGTACTGTGAAACGTATTGTCGATCGGACGTGCCACGAGTGACTGTTATTATATCTAGTACACCAGATTCTTTAGCGGAATCTACCATTCGTCAATTAGAAAGAAATCGCGGTATGACATTTATCGTTGTTGGTATCGGAATTTTGGGAAATACAGCAGCTTTGGATCGACTGGCTTCACATCCTGCACGATACTATGCTATTCCAGTTATGACTGTTTATGAGCTGATTCTTTCAGCTACATATATTGCTTCTCTGGTTTCTGATGTACCTCGCCTTCTTGTGATCAATAACCCATTGTCGATTTCGAGTGTATCAAACAGCATTTATTACACGGTGCAACTTAACACCTATTCATACACAGCGACAAGTGACACAATCGTCATGTTTGCGTCTAATTGTCCAAGCTGTAGCGTATACGCTTCGCTGTCTGAACCGAATCCGACTAGTGCTAACACAATTGAAAATTCCCGTCGTCATGATTTCTATGCTGGCAATGGATACCCCAACACATTGTATTACTTTCGTATACCGAAAAACACTAATCGATTTTATTTAAGCTTACTAGGAAAGAGCGTGCCTTCTACCACTGCCACTATCTTGCTAAATGTCTTCACCGTGCCAAATATGATGGTGATTTAGATCAGAAACTTTCAAACAACAGGTCTTGCGAGCCTGATTAGCTAAACGACTTATGAAATTAGAACAATTGTTCTTTTCTTTCTTGTAGAAGTGGTCTTGAAAGAAAAAATAAATTTGTGTAAATAAATAATTATAATCAAATATTTTAACGGAATGTCTATGAGATGGATCATTGAACGATTTCATCGAATGAATATAAATTCACTGGGAAGCACTCTATCAGTAGGCTTGAGTGTGTGAATGTTGATCTACATCTGAGATTAGTTGTGAGTTGTGAATGTTGGTATCGGTGAAGGTATATGTTTGAAGAGAGAGTGTGTGTGTGTCAAATCTTTAACAATAGTTTGAAGATTTTTCTAATCGAATTCTCTTTATGCTTTAAAAAAGTTAAATGACTTTTCGAAAAGCCAAACATTTGAATTTTTTATTTTATAACATGAAAACGAATAATAAATATTCATCGATGACATTTTAAAGTTAGTGACATTCTACTTTAGTACACAGCTTTACCTAGACGAAAAAACAGTTCAAGATTTCAGATGAATATTTCAAAGTAACTGTGTTAATAGATCAGTTTCTATCAACTGAACTGCTGAAGTGGCTCATCTGAACAATGTATTCTGAACTATATTAGATCTAGAACTACCTCGACGATATTTTCTCAAAGAAATGTAAAAGGCTTAGTTTTTTCGTTTGGCAACATAGACAAATATCTTCTGACGATAAACTGAAGCTTAATTATTGCGGATACTATTGTTTATATTTTTAAGAAATAAAGTCATTGCGAAATATATCAAGAATCTACTTCGAATAAAAATATTGTTGTTGGATGGTGATTATTATCTTTCATCATTTTTTTGCAAGAAAATAACGTATTAATGCAAAATATAAAATCGTACATAAAACTCCCATATGAATAAGGTTGATTACTTTGTCCAAAAAAAAAACATGCATTTCTCAGGTGTATTTAAGCATACTCAACTTGAAATCGACAAGCTGTATAAATTGGAAAAAACCAACAAAAGTGTGTTGTTATCATCTTTATCTTCTCCGTTTTTATTTGACATCAAGAACTAAAAAACGACAGTATTTGACGAAGAAAAAAGAATATTCACGTCATTCTTCACCATATTAGACGCATATGAATATTTAAGTCACACGGATTCGTGAAGAGAGAATAAGGACAATGAAGATAAGTTTTTCTTATTTAAATAATAAATATTCATCAGTGTTTGAGAGAATGTATATTTAAAAAAAAACTGTCTTCTGATCACCATAACAAATTCTTTTGATCCTTAAACGTATTAATACGAAATGGATGATAGGAAGTTAGTGCTGATGAGTTATACATGACAAGTAATACACTTATCTCAAAAACTAATTGATTGACATGAAAAAGTTAAATAATAAGAATATATGTATGGCTGAAAAGACGATGCGCACTAACACACCCAGAAACAACCACACCAGCATGTACACACACCCTCTCCCCGACACCTGATAGAAAATAGATAATGGAAATTAATAAAAAGTATTGTCAACGCAGCAAACAGTTCTGTTCTTATAATCAATAAAAATCTTGTCGAGTTTCATTTCATATTAGAGATATAATAGCACGCAAAAAGTCACATGAAATCGTTCAGTCATATCACTTATTTACTTTGCATTGTTGCCTTTCACTCCATATTTTATAGCATAGATTCAAGTTACGTCTACTCGTAAAAATCAATGAGAACAAATCAGGTTTATACTTTTGAAACATATATTCTGGATGTCTGAAAAAGCAAGAATACAAAAGCTTATTTGTTTAGACGGCAAAAAAGTTTTAGTATGCCTACCCATCATGCAACTCATGAATGTCCGACCACTGTGACAATGGGCCAGCAAACTTCTGATGATACGTATATTGACAACCTAAAGTCGATGGATATCGTGGTGTGCCACTACCACAACAATTGAAGGATGAACAACTATGACCATAACCCTCATATTTCTGAAAGAAGGATAAAATCATGTTGTTTATCTTAAGTGACGAAAGAGCCATTAAAAGCATTTACTATCAAAATCAAGTCTAGAATAAAGGTTCCACTATGAAGTCTTATGTGAAGAACATAATGAAATTCTGAAATTGAAATACCGATTCTATATAGATCTTATGTTTCCCTGAGAGTATTGAAAATTCGAATCGTGTGTAGAAACACGATCTTACATGGTTTTCGAGTGTTTTTCTTGGGTTCTTTCCAGCTAATGAAATTCCGAAAATTGGTATTGCAAGAAAAAAAGTGGTAGCCAAGATCAACGATCATGTACTAACCGATTCCACGTTTTATCTTGAGGTATCCACTTAACTTCGAAAACGTAACACTCTCGAACATTACTCTGTGTTAGATTTAAATATCCAATATTCACCCCTGGATGATATAGGCACAACATTTCTTTTTCATTTTTGAGCTCATTGAAGTATAATCCACATCGTTGACATAATGCCATGAATGGCAAAACATCTTGCATTGTAAATTTGATATTTGATTCTGACAAACAACTGGAATGAATAAAAATTCGCTCTAAATTTTGTTTATGGTTTTTAGTGTTGAATAAACGGCAAGCACTTAAGAGATCAATGTTTTCACACTGATAAAATTCAATATGTTTAAGTTGTTTACAGGACGCAGCTATATATTGAATACCATTCACCGTTAACAAATTACCCTCAAAGCTAATTTCTTTAATCGAAGGAAATAATAGTGCAGTTAAGCGTAAAGATTCGTCAGTATGAACAAAATTTTTGAATAGGACCTACAACATGAAGAAAGATTTCATTTAAAATGATGAAAGTGCATCTCTCAAAAAATGCTTCAAATTGATTTAATCAAAATTATGAACAAGTACTCGTAATTTTCTTGAATACTTTGCAACGCATTATAAAACAGATAATACTATTAATAAAGAATATGTTAATATAGGTTAGAAATCAGAAGAAATTCACTTTTGTTGCTCTCTGATTCAATTCTAGTTTGTATCATACTTTTTCTACTAATTGAAATCGTTGCACACTTTCATCTGATGATGCCATTTTTTCTAAAACATTCTCCAAAGCTTTCGGATCATCTGGTGGTAAAATCATTGACCATAATTTCACCTTAATAACATTTTCCGGATCATGACGTCTTGAACTATAATCACGCATGTGACCAATGTATGGTAATTCAATCATATTGGGCCATAATTTCAAATCGTTATAAATACGTTCTCTCCAAAAACGACATGTTTGTGCTAAATGAACAAGACTTCGCAAGTCTAAATAGCTCAGTAAAATTGGAATTATATCAAGAAATGGTCATGAGTCCATAGTAAATACAACTGAAATAGAAAAATACTCATAATAGTGTAGATGATAATTTTACTGATTACAGGCATACATATGTTTTCAGTCATTTGTGATATGAGTGTTTTTCACTACGATTTCACTTTTTTCTCAGGCGTCCTACGTTGTCGTATTACGAATGCCGATGCAATTACACTAGAAATATGTATATAAATTGATTACCATGACAAATAAATATTTTTCTTCTGTTGGTTTTGTTATTTTTCATCCGTGACCACGTGGAAAAGGAACGAAAGAAACCTAACATCACTTAGTAAACAAGAAAAACACAACGTACTGTAAACTTTATCGAAAACCATCAGAAGTTTTGTGCATTTTTTTGCTTATTATTCGAGTACAGTACTAAAACTGGGATATATGTTTCACTATGAATCGGCAATGTTGACTTCTCTCTACGTTTGCTAAACAAAATTGAGACCTTCACAGATTATTTGCTTTGATAACTATTGAATTTGCCAAAAACAATCGTTCAATTCTATGATAAGTTACAGTTTGATGTTCTATATAAATTGTTTTGAAGTTTCCCTATTGCCATCAATCAATCAATTTATTGTTCGACTAAAGAAAGATTTGCTTCAAAATCCAAAAATCAATAACGAACACGAATCAAACTGAATGAGATTAGATTCGTTGAAGTAGACGGATCACTTTCAAATTTTGATTTTGATTTCAATGATTTTTGTTAAGTAATTCATGACATATTAAAATAGAAATGAATATTTTTCATCAATGTCAGTCTTCGTTAATTCAAGAGAAACAATCGTTTTGACCGTGATCTCAATGCTTCATTAGTAACGATATCATTGGTTCTTGTTTGAAGACAGTTAGCTATACATTCCCGAACAGCTATAGAATCAAGATGCGGCAAGTCTCTTATTCGTTCGTTGATCTATTATAATTGGAACCAGTCAAATATCTCTTCGAGCTTCATCATGCACGGTGACGTAGCTTACAATATGATTAGTCGACTGTAGTTTTACAACATTGTATGTTTAGCATAGGCTTTTATCGAAGAATCCAAACCACTCACACTGACTGTCGTCCTTGTCATTAGCTTATATAATTCGCATGCATAAAGGTTTTGTGTTGAATATCATTGTTTTCAATGACAGCTGATGTTCTTCTAGTTAATTTTCTCAGCATATTTATGATATGTCGTCGTTTTGACTTTATCACGAATGCCATACTATTGTGAAGTATATTATAAAGAATCTAAATAGGAGAATCAAGCCAACAGCTCGATGTCATCATTAATAGTGATTGTTTTTCTTTTCTTTGTCATTGATATATTACAAGCGTCATTATGTCCATTGGTTTTCACTCAAAAGAATTTCAACGTCACTAAAGTTCGATACTTTTATTATATTAAGATAATCTTAATTCTCATTTTAGTATGCAGGTCTTTGGTATGAAGCCTATCAGCATGATATTAACGAAGTAGATACACAATGTGAAAATGGAACATATACGGCCAATTCTAATGGAACCATGGATGTATGGAGTCAAGGTCTAAATAAACTCAGTGGTTACTACAGCCATCGAGGTCTGGCTAAGCCTAAGAAAGAGTCGGAGCCAGCTGCTTTTCTCATTCATTATACAAATCCGAGTAATGCTCTCCAGTATTCTATCAGCGTTGATTAGTTTTATTCTTGTCTATAGGTCAAACGGTCAAATATAATATAATTCAAACGGACTATGAGCAATATTCATTGATCTAGTCATGTGATTATGTTCCTATTGTGGGTATAAAATTTGAACATGTTTGGTTTCTCTCGTAAGTTTATGTTTATTTTTCTTTCTTCACAGGAATGAAAAAAAAAACTTTTTCTTTCTTACAGTCGAAATAAAACTTTACCAGAACCTATTGTTGAAGAGCTCAAAAAGGTTTTAAAACACATGCATGCTAAATCAGACGATATCAATCCAACACTTCAAGGTTGTTGAAAATTAGATATCATCATGTAAAATCTTTTCTTATTTTTCGTTGCTGCACAATGTACTAGACTTCAGAAAAGATTCTATTCTTTTTTTTTGTAAACAGATGGATTCGAAGTAAAGTTTGTGACAGTGGTACACGTGCAAAACTCTACAACTTTATTGAAAGATATTATGAAGAATGCATTAGTATGATCGCTTGTGACTCTCCAAGTAGCGCTGCAAAAATTCTCCTGCATATTCATATCAACCATGTCATAGCATGATCATCTACATTCTACTTTAGTATTTACAAATGAGATAAAGCCCACTGCTGACATTTAATAAAATGCCTCATGTTCTATTTACTTATTGAGCTTTCCTGCGCCAACGAATGTAGCTGATCAAATATTCTTTGTGAAAACACATCATCTATTCAACGGAACATATGCACACCTAGAACTTATTAATGTACATCTACAAAGGATTCATGCGATTCAAAAAGTACGTGTCTTCTCTGGCAAAAGATACAAAGCAACTTGATCGTGTAGATCTTTGCCTAGCAAAAAACGAGAAACTATTAAGGGATTATGATATAGATGTCGCATGAAAAGGAAAAGAATGAAGTCGTATTTCGTACTAAACAGAAGAATTATTAGGTTAGACATCATCAACACTTGTTTAAAGATGTGTCATTGTTGCATAACAGTTACTGTTCATTTCTACAAAACAAGAACTCTGGTAAAATTTTTTCGAGCGAAAACTAAATTAAGAAAGTAAAACAGAATACTCCACAGAGGTTGCTCTGATCATAGCGAAGGTACGCCAGTGTAGGTGGGGTAGAAGATAGCAGTCATACCTACATTCGATTAGAATCTACGATGAAAGTCAAGAGGGTTCGTTGTTAAACTTCAAAGCTAGTGCATTTTACAAACAATCACAATCAACTTTCAATAAATAACTCTGGACAATGTAAGTTTATCGATCGATCTCGAATATTTGTCCTTAGATAGAACGATTTAGGAAATGTCCATTTATACACAAATCATCATTCGCATAGTGGCATGAACTCATATGATATCAAACAATAGTGAGAACAAAAATCTAATTTCATCATAATTGTTTGATGATGATAAGTCTGCGAATGTGTTACTAGATATGATCTGACACAAAATCAGTTCAAGTAATTCTAAATAGAGGTTGCTTCTCTGTAATATTTCCCATATGTTCATGGAAAACCGAGACAGATCATATAATAGTTTTGTTTTAAGGTACTGGAATGAGTTTCCTATGTTGCTTGATTTTATGTAAAAAAATAACAAACGTAGATCAACGTTTGACTTGAAAATAAAAATACAGCATGTTACAGATGTTAAGTAAAAAATCTCAAGCTTGAATTAAACAAATATAATGAACAGCTTGCCTAACAATTGTAAATTGTTCATATTGACACCTAAACAAGAAAATAAAGCATTTCCAATGGTTGATAAATCAAATAACAAGTATACAAGTCCAATTCTGAAAACTAAACTAAAATTACAGTCTAAACTTTAGATATTCGCAATCGAAATGAGAAAACTTCTTCAATCAATATAGATTTCATCAAAGTGTCTAACAATTCTAGTGACTATTTTTTTATATACACTATTCTGTCGTAAACAAAAATACTGTTATTTGTCAGAATAACATATATTTTGCATTAATATTCGTCATTTAGCAAAGTGAATTCATTTTATTACACGGTCTTTCTGTTGAGAAATACATGTATAGACAGCGAAGAAAAAACGCATACTTCTTCTCAATGAATTTCTATTTAAACCAAACTCATAATTTTAATGTTTCAGAGTTCGTCAAAAACAAGCTAGATCTATTTGTAATTTGAACTAAAATAAAGAAAATATTCTTTGTCAGACCGAATTTTCGAAAAAAAAAACATTTGGTTACTTCCGACGTAGGATATTAAAATTATAACTTTTTGATAGCTAATGAGAAAAGGAAAATGAGTTAAGTCTATTTTTTTTATCTCTTGAAGGTTCTCTTTAAACGAATATTGAACAACCATATAACAGAACATACATAGTTTCCACAAATGCTATTCTTTCACAACTTTCTAATAACGCCTAAAATATCTGACGGTATGTACACGTACCATCAGTTTATTTTGTTATGTATTTTTAGTTTGTTCAAGTAGCCATTTGTAAATTTCTGGATTATTGTATGTTTCTGTCCATGAATCATGTTTTAAATTCGGATAAACTGTTGATTTACAAAGTGGACTATTCAATGCTTTAATTAATAATAACGATTCTTCAACTGGTATTACATCATCTAATTTCCCATGAAAATTCCATATGGGTAGATGTTTCAAAAGTGAAATACACTGACGATCGCCACCACCACATATAGGAATGATGGCAGCGAACCGAGTAGGTTGAGCTATTGCGAGAGACCATGTACCATAACCACCTGAAAATGCAAATAAGAAGTGAGATGCATAAAATTCAAAATGATTAATATACATATATGAAAGATGAATCATTTTCACAACAGTCTTGTCTGTTAGATGAATAACAGGAATCTTATATATACACTAACATTCATTGTATAATGGTAGTGAATCAGGTAAAATAATCATAAACGTTGGTTTAAAAAAAAGAATACTTTTTTTTCGAATACTGATCAATACTGATAATTATTGAGTTTCAATTGTTAGCCTGAGAAAGAAGGAAACTGAAGTTTCGAGCAATTTTAAGCTACAACTAGTGCCACTCAACTGAACACTAAAGCCACTTTGATTCGTGTAGCAATACGATAGCTTTTTTTTTGTAAATTGTAGAATATTATTTCCAACAAAGATAATTTTCGATTTGTTTATTTTTTCATTGCATAAGAATATATCAATTCTAGAGACTTCAACTAATGCATATCTTTAAAACAACTTACCCATACTGATACCAGTCACATATATTTTATTTTTGTCAATACAATATGTTTGTTCTAATTCATCCAAAAGTACTGACAAGACCTTGGAATCCCATCCATAACCTCGATCAACTTGTGGACTACATGTAATAAAGTTTTCGGCTACTAACTGTGCACATTCCATATTGATATTATCCACCGATGGATTATCTTGTTTGTTGGATGAATAAGCATTAACCAATTTTGGAGGACCATGTTTTAGAACTTTTTCAATTGGAGCATGTGATTCTCCAGCACCATGTAAGAATAAGAGAAGAGGCCAATGCTTGTCTGTTTTCTCGAATTCATAACTAGGAGGAACGGATAATAAATATTGATAAGCAAATGGAATTACTGATGTTTTTTTCTGTTGAAATACTTTTAACATCTGAAAATAATGCAGATGAAATTTAACAGTTGTATCATATGAAGTTCAAATCTTAACGAAAAAAAGTCAGTCATTTAGCTAGAATACTTTTCATAATTTGAGTGCTTGAGATTTTGTATTTCGAAAGTATATTTTCTTGAAGTTCTTTCCAATATGAGTGCATTGTATAAGAACTTATAGCTCTAGGATTAGAAAGTTTCTAATGCACAAGTCATGAAATTTTCTTTAAATCAAATAGAAGAAAAAATATTGAATTTGCACTTACATAGTTGATTTTTCTATATTGAAAAAATGCTTAATATCTATTAACGGTAGAGACTCTTGGAGTTTGTTTATAGTTTTCAATTCTGAATATTGAGAATTACTAGAATCGTTTGATTTTGAATCCATGCCAATCGCTTTTTGAACATGCACTCTATTGAAACTCAACAAATAGTCTGACACACCTAGGACAAAAAAAACGATACCCTTAAGATGACGTGATTTCCAGTACTGATCATTCTCTATCAATTTTTACTTCAAGAATATTATTTGAATCCGAGTTTTAGATATTCGACAACGAAAGTAATCACGTAAACTTATCGTAATTAAAATTATTTGATTTACAAAGCTTTCATTTTTTGTTTTCAACCGATTGTTGATAGAAACTCTAGTTTGTTTTACGTATATTTCCATTCATGATATATTTCAGTGTCATGAGTGTGTGAAGTATTCTCTTTGAAAAAGATGAATAGCAAAGACATAAAAAAATACTACGTTCATTGATAATCTCTTTCCAAAAACCTTATTAGTGTCTTTCGTTAATTGTTTTAAAGACAAGATTGATTCTTTTTGACTATATAGTAGTGGTTTGATCTTTGAACAAATTTTTAACACATGGAAGAAAAAATCTTCACCATTTTCTGTTTTTTCTATATACTCTGAAATAATTAATTGACTATATTCTGTTTTGTAGTCTGTAAAGTCTCAAATGTTTGATTTCTATTTGGCTACTATTTGCAAGTCTCAGCAGGGTAATTTTCGTCTTTATTGATCGAGATAAACTGGAATTCAAGTCTTTTGAAATAAATGTTGATGCAGTAAATTAAAACATATACTGAATAGTCGATTGTAGTTCAAACAACTATACAAAAAGCATACCCTATATGAACCTTTATGAGCTAAATATATAACATTCTGCTAGTATAATGTGAAGCAAGTAATGATGCAAAGTATTCATATCCAACAATTTTTCTTTAAATTACTAACATTATCAGTAGAAACATTGGAAGGGTCAATGACTACGTTTATGTTGTAGACAAATCGGAAAATTTGTACTTAAAAGACATCAAAATAAAAAGACAGAATAACGTGCATAGCTCATGTATGTTGAATAAAGAATGAGAATTCATTTCTAGAACGGAAAGTGAATATTGCTAATGAAAACCAAATATTTAGTTTTTAAAATTTTGTAGTCAATCAATGAGCTGAGTCATCGAAACTCATATATCATGTAGCTTTTATTTTTCTAGTTGACTGAATAGCCAAATCAGTTTGTACACGAATTCCTCTCTCATATATGCTCTAAAAAGGTGTCGCTTTTGTACTTATATGACGAGAAGTGTTATTATCAGAAGTTGTTGACTATAATCAATTTTTTACTTTTAAAATAAGTAATACTTTAGTCAATAGGAATTTATGATCGTGTTCTTCATTTATCCTAAAGTCAAATAAACTTTTTTAAAGTAAATGATACTCACATGTGGATTTTCTCATCCAAGCATTCCACCCTTTAAGTACTAGGTGATTAATAGAATAACATAAATAACATATGACAATATTCTCATAGTATTGTTATTATTATAAAATATTGAAATAGCAACAATGATTTACAAGATGAAATGAAATAAATGATATTTTTAATCTCTCTCATATATTGAATTGTAAATTATCAATTGCTGAATTATGTTCTAAGAATTGAGAGTGAGGATGATGATGATTATGATGTAAATTTGATATTCTTACTCTAGTATTCAAATTAAATTTTTCAAACGCATTACTAATTCATTGTATTGTCATATATATCTTACAATTATTTTTAGATTTCATTTAATGTTTTAAAACATTTCATGAAAATATAACAACATCAGAAAACCAATGATGTATATGTAATATTCTATAATGAAATTGACATAATTTTTTCATGATGATTACACTATAAAAATAATACAAAAATTTACTTTTCTTTGATTTAAAAAGATAAATGCTTCGTTGTTTCAGTGACCACGTATAATCTAAAAATGTTCTTTCATGAAAACAAAATAACATTAGAAATAAAAACGTTTTCTTTCATATTGCTTTGGCATCGAATGAGGACTTACATAGCTCAATTCTTCTTTTATAAAGTTTCCAATTTAAATATTTTTAGTTGATATAGATTTTATTATATTTGTGCTAAAGAGATATCATATTCTTATTCACACAATTTCAGATCAACTCGATATCCAGTCCGATTGTACCCTCACCCTCACCCTCAACATAAAATGATCGAAAAAAATGATAGAGAAATCAAATATATTAAATAAATTTATTTTTACAAAGATTTTCAAGATTTATTGTGTATTGAAGAAGAATAAACAGAAAAAAATTCTCTGCAGATAATCATAATTATACGATTATTATATATAACAGATAACAAAAAAATCAAAACCAAAGACGAAATCGAAGTATTTCGATATCATATCGACTATAAGGGAAAAGAGTTTGTACCATAGAACGATAAGGTTCGACTTTTTCTTTATGAATTTGACCATGAATATCGAAAAAAATAAGTTCTTTCATTTGTTTAACTAAGTGAGAAAGATTTTCTTGAAAAACGGCGACATGTTATACTAAAAAGGAAAGATTTTTTTCTTAATTTATTCTTTCACATAAATTTATATTTTTTTCATATCAATTGATTCAGAGGTTTAAAGTGGCTTATACCATTGATTGACTAAACGTGAATAAGAATATATATGTTTATTATAATCTGGTCGAACTAGAATAAAGAAATCAAACAAAATAAAAATTTCTATCATGAATATAGATAATTTTAGAGTTCGAGTTGAATCTGATTAGATCTTGAAAATTCTAACTTATCGATCAACACTCGAATTAGGTATATGCCAGAAAAATTTTAATAAAGAATGAAACCCTTTTTAATTCAAATTGATTTTATCCTTTTATATATTCGGAAAAAAAAAATCTATTCTTCATAGTTCATATAAAATCTACATACTAGATGTCCATGGAAAATCATCTAGACGCCAAAGACGTAATGTTTGTAAATTAGACATATAAGTACTAAGAAAAGGTACAAGATTTTGACCAATACGAATCGATTCGTTTGAACCACGATGACAACTAGGAATCCTAAATTCGGCATATTGAACAGTATTCAGTGCATTTTTTCTTAGTTCATCAAATGCCTAAAAATAAAATAAAAATAGATAACAGTAGTTTGACTGATAAATGGTATATTTCAAATTACAGTTTAATCATGATTAAATGCATAGAATAAGTACTCAATTTTTTTTTCTTATTAAAATTAAATAAATTATTTATTTTTTTTCGCACTATATAAAATGAATCTATTCTTTTTTCGATACAATATGAAAAAACAGAATATTGATTGTTCTACAAAACTAAATTATTTTTCTTTAATAGTTCGTTTAGTAATACATCCATTGAAATTATTTGTAATAAACAAAATGAAATTATCAAACTCAAAAAAAAGAGTATAAATATAAACAGGGATGTGCCGATGGGGGGGACGGGAGGGGGGGTCCGGACCCCCCACTTTTGAAAAATATTGACTTTCTTTATTAAAATTGCTGTAGAACTTTTATATTAAAATCTGGATATTACAGCTTTTTCCTGAGGGGGAGTACAGGAATCTATACCTTGGACCCCTCCCCCCGCCCCACTTTTTTTCTTTCGGCACATCCCTGAATACAAATGATACTTACATATTGAACAACATGCAAAAGCCACTCAAACTCATATACTCGAAGATCTTTGAGTTGAACAGGCATTGAAATAAGATGAGCGAGGACTTTTGCACGTGCTTTAATTCGATCAATTGATTCATCATAATTCCCTTGGAAAAAAAATTTATTTGTATTTTTGACTATTGAATAAAAAATAATAATTTATTTTAAGATTTACGATTAAATTTCTACCATCAACCATTTATTTGATCAAAATATGTCAGGAGAAAAAGCAGTGAAATTTTAGAACGCACTATATTTATCCCTATAAGGCTATTATATTTTATGACTTATTCTGTTCAATATATAGATAGTTAATAAAAAGCTTTCTAGAAAACTTTTTATTAATTATGGTCAAACAGACCTCTCTATTGCAGGAAGCTGTGAATCTCTTTAGACCTAAACCTGATCTGTGTCCAAAAGTTTAATTTATTTCTAGATTCCGGTCTACATCGAGATTTATCTTCAGAAAGTCTTTCTCGTTAGTGGCAATTTTCAATTGTCATTTTATAAAAACTTGGAAGGTAAATAACTAACATCTTTCTAAATTAAAATACAAAAACTTTTTCTTCCAAACAATTAGATGAAACGGTTTTCAAAACAGAGTCTATCAAACGAACTTTAATAACAACACGCAAAATTTAATGTTTTAACAAACCTCAATTATTCTTAAAATTTTCTTTATTAATGTAATACGGAAAATCTTTTCTCGTATTTTCATTAAATATTACAAAAGAGTGTGGAAACTTACCAGACGTACGATCAAAATACGGATTAAAATCAAGTCTAGTGACGTTTCGCAATTGAATATCAGTTAATCTGCATTTTTCATTTTCAAATGGCATTTCAGATACTATTAACTGTAGATTATCAGTGGTTATATACTATCCTAAATAGAAAATAACTTTCATTTAATACAAAAACATATATGTTCATAAGGAGCTATTCTTTGTTACGCAATTGTAATTCATCATAATATTCATTTTTCTTTTATTCAAATTGATAATTTTAAATGAATTTATTATAGATGTAACTTCACCGGGGCAAAGTCATCTTCTTTTCGAATCGGAATCGGTGACATCTTTTATCGTATCAAAGTTAAGATCGCTCACCTCATAATTTAAAAGTGATTTATAACTGCTTTTCAAAATACTGAGTTGAACGTATTTCACACTGATCAAAGTTAGTAGTAGTGTTCTCTTTTGTTGTTTATCGATCCATTATTTATAAAGTTCTGAACTACTAGATTAATGGATTATTCAAAGATTGAGAAGTATTATGCTGCGAATCATAGAAATGTTTTCGATTTCACATTTCGCACCTATCAGAATCAGCATCCCTAGATATAACAAATAAAGAAACTCACCCATATGAAGTTTGATACAAGAAACATTAGGAAATAATTCACTAAATTGTTCAAGAAATAAATAAAGAGATGGCTGTAAATCCATCCAAACATATCGTGTTTGTGGCCAATTGAAAAGATCTCTCTCGTTACTAGAACAAAAGCATAATTATCTTACAATATTTTATGCCTTCTTACATTAAATTATTGGAAAATCGAGGTGTATAATTGAGAGAAGAGGTAAGATGTTGATAAGAAGTTATTGAATCAAAAAAACATTTAATATTTGTCCATTGATGATCAACAAAAAACGGATGAATTTTAAATGAATTAATTATTTCCTCAATATCAATCATTGGTACGTTACATTTGGAAAAAATATAAAAATCAAAATTTCTTAAATTAATTACTTCATCAGGCAAACAATATCGCTGAATAAAATTTGCATCAATAACAGATTTCCAAATAGCTTTATTTGTTTCATATAATGTGTCACTTTTCAAATGAATTTTCAATTTTTTAATATGATTAAGATTGTTTAGAATCCACTTCAAATAAGCAAATTCTGAATCATTATCAACGAAAGTTTTCAGAGTAAAACTTTCTAGTTTTGGTACCTATAATAAAAAAGACACAATTCAAAGATACATTTATCTTGATTTCTTAAAGGAACTATTTTACTTCTTAAATATATTTATCACATAAAAATTGAGTTTCAAAAAAAAAGGAAAAAACAAAATATACCATTTTCAGATTTATGAGGACAAATTCAACTGGCTTTTAATAGTACCAAAGCTAAAAATTTAAAATTTAACATCGTTTTGTGTAACTTCGCCATAATATAAAGAATATATGAAATAGTTTTACTATTAAATGTAGTATCGAGTAGATTCTCATAACAGATTACTTTTCTCCATAATCTGAACTCTCTTCGCCTATTGATTCTACCTAAAGCAAAATCTCTGTAACCATTTTGCAAGCAAGATCTAATATAACACGATGAAGAATAATATACAATTTCTCTTTTATTCAAATAGATAATGAAAATTAACTCTTCCCGCACAAACTTGAAGGTAGTTGGCAAATATGGAATCGGTCTGGTTCCAAAAAAAAAAATTAAAATGACTCTTGTCTAAAACTGATATTTTAATGCATTTCTTAGCTTATTATAAGTTTTGGTCCGGTTCGAAAAAACATGAAATAATTTCATCTCTGGTAGTCAGAAGTGAAAAATGATAAGTAGACTTTGTCATTCAGCAAACTTTCTTTTAGTTAAATAATAAATACGCATCTGAGAAATAATTGGATTAATATTTAATTAATTTTTATTTGTAGTTTATAAGCAGAATTTAATATGAAATGTTATCTAGAGTTTTAGAATAAGGACTTCAATCATAAATTCAAATCATTGGTAAAATATGTAGATCACTATAAGACAATGAAAGAATTAGAAAAATCTATTATTACAGCATATGATAATGCAATCATTATTTGAGTGGCCAGTATCTTTTCTATTACCTTATTAAACCACTTTCCATTTGTTTGTATCAATGTGTCAATGACTGTTGTAGATCGGTGACAAATTTTCAATGAGTGACTAAAACAAACCGATAATTGTTGAAGAACAGGAACATATTCAATAAGACGTTCAAGAAAACATGTATATTTAATATGAATATATAAACGACGAAGAGTCAAACAAGATGGTCGACGCGTAAAAATTGAAAAAAAAGCAAGAGTGATATGAGGTTCTAAACATCGATGAAGATTAGCATAAGAATCATCGCAGGCAATATCAAGTTGAAGTGAAATGAGACGAGATTGATTAGAGAAAAGTTTACGAATTAATTCTTCAAGCATAATTAACTTTTCTATAAGCATAAAGAGAAAAAAAAATCAATATTCTATCTATAAATATTTCAACAATAATTAATTACCTGTACGTAAATCCATTGCCGATAATCCATTTGGATATCGAAGTAATGTAATAATATCTTTATCAAATGTTAATATAAGTTCATCAAGTTGATATTTAATAAGTATAGGTAGACTTTTAATTAAAGGTTGTACCAATAAACAACGAGTAAGTATAAGTGATTTAAGATTTGGAAAATGAAGAATTTTTTTATCATTATCAAAAAGCCATTTATAACTTAAATCAGAATCATTACAAATTGTCCCATCAAAATGAATACGTCGAATACAAGAAGCAAATGGTAACAATGGATTAGAAATTAATGGTAATAATATTGAATTACATTTATTATATGATAAACCAGGGTTAATAATAACAAGACCATTATTTGATTTATTATCAATTTTTGAGAGAATAGAACATATCAGCCGATCAAAGCGTTTATTCAATGACGATAAAGACATTAATAATTCAAACCATGATAAATGAGAAAATATCATAAGAAGAATTTCATTTGGTATTGTTTCCAATGTTGTTATCATCTTATTCTGACAAGTTTATAATCAGTTTTATATAAAAAAAAATGCGAAAACCTCGGATTTAAATCCGAGTGTTATGTGTACTTCAAAAAGTGAACAGGTATATTCACTTTGTTTTTTATCATCTGAGGCATATCTAGGCAATTTGCTTTCTGGATACAGTTTTTGTGCATTTTGAGACCTTTTTCATGCGATGTTTTGTTAGAAAGCTACGATTTTGGTTCAAAACTAATATCAGATTCGGAATCAGCGTTAAAAACTGAGTCGATTTATATATGTTGTGAATAATTCTGAGAAAAAGTTTTTTTTGAAAGTGGCTATGTGCACTCAGACAGTTTAAGTCAACTATTTGGTAAATCTCATGCTATAAATAATCTTCTTTGGACTTAACTATTCAGGTAAATAGGATATTACTACTTGTTTTCATTTTTAATTTCATTTCATAAATCATTTATTATTTATTAATATCAAACAAAATTACAAATCATATTTTACAATTAAAGACCCAAACAAATAAAATCATATTAAGTACAAATCAAGTATAGAAAACAAAACAAAATATACAAATATTTTATTTCAAATAAAGATCAACTAATTTGCAATTGTTTCTAGTAACTTCCTCTCTTAGGCTTTGAAGGAAATCGTTGTATTTCATTATTTTCAATGCAATTAACATAATGATTACGTAAAGATTTTTGATCATAAGATAATGATGATGGAATATGTCCATAACAAAGAGATGTGGCGAAAGCTAATGCGAATAATCCACAATCATGACCACCAACTTGTTGCTGTACATTTTCAAATGATAAAACTTTTTCTTCACCAGGTAATACATCTTGAAAAAATTTGACTAATGATTCTGTTGGATAAGATAGAGAATCATAAACTTTCCAAATATTTTCAGATTCTAAATTTCAGAAAATGTTATTGATTGTGATGATAATTGTGCCAAACAAGAGGAAACATCTAATAATTCTACATTATTTAATTTTGGTTGAATAGGTTTATATGCAATTTTATGGCATGCATCAGCCATTTTGAACTCATTTATCAACATATCGAGTGCTTTCGAATATTGATTTTTAGTAAAATCAACATACAATAATGAACCAATTAGAAACACAAGCCATCCGTTAGGTTTGTAGTATTTCTGCAAGAGAATTGATACTATATTTAATCGTTTTTGAAATGTATCTGGTGCGTCGACAGGACAAAATTATTTCGTTGATATTGTTCACTCATACAGATCATAATAGTTCATAATTGTTCGATAGCATCTACCATTGCATCCAGAACATTTCCATGCATTTGATCGAAACCGATTCAGATTCGATAACCAACTCGAACGACTTCTTCATACAATTGTTTAAAATCTGTTTGTCTTTATGTGAATAACTGATCATAATATCGATTGTTTTTCTCATTGCTGTTATTTGATACAATGTTTTTTTTTGAAGACTCGACTTTAAATTTCAACGAATACCATTAAGAATTTTACGTATGTTTTTATTGTTTGTTTGATCATTGGTTTGAACTACTTTAGTATTGAATGCTTGATTCGATTTGAAGTTGTTTAACAATAATTGAATTGAATGAAAGAGTCCAAATAATATCAAATACGATAGGATAGTGATCACATAATTCAACAAGTAATGATATTTTGTTAGAATTAGCTATTGCTGTTTCAATTGTATAGCTTGATGATAGACTCACATAACCTATTTCGTATATATACATATGTCTCAACTATTGAATTTATTTATCGACTTCAAAGAAAACAAAGTGTGGATATGCGTTTTGATCAGGTCATACGGGTCTGCAAGCATGATTAATTCCTATTTCCAAAATATGCAAAGTTCATCTTAATATAATAGGAAAACTTTATACGACAGAGAAATCTACCGAAAACTTGTGTTTCTATTCGTATTGGGACAGTATTCATTATCAATGATGGGATCTATTCCATTTGAGAAAAATGAAAAACGATTCTACTCATTCTATCAATATTGTATTATAAGAACAAATAAAACTGTTTTATTAGACAAGGTTATTAATGTCTTTCATGCGCATCCCTTCTAATGTTCGAATTTTCATTTTAATATAAATTTTTCAATTACCTATGTTCTCAGTTCATATTTCAAACCGTTACATTAAGAACAAAGTGATTGACAATGTTAGGAGAATCCATTAAGTAGAACTGTCTCTGAACATAGTTTTGAAAACTAACTTAACACTGATGTGATACAAAATGTATTACTCTACAAACACTATCACTGTGTTCCTTAAAGAAAACTTTCTTGTTTATATAAAAATTACATAGTTGACATTATCTCAATTGTAGCTAGGTGAAACGACAAAGGGAATAATAATTTATTATGTGATTGCTGCTGAAAATGAGTGCTGGCAACTGATGTCTTCAGGTTTGCGTTGTTTGATGTATATTTTCGAAACGAAGAAGATATGAAAACTAAATGTATTTCAGAACTGTAGAACCCTAGAAAATGTTATTTATATCCTTTTTTGTCGACTGTTGTTTTGTGGCGGATGACCAAGCAGTTTCTACTTTTGGTATTATGGTAATAAACTCTTCAAGAATAATATGCAACTGGAAAGAATAATCTTCTATCATATTGCATTCAAAGAGACTCAGAGATTCAAAAATTCGAAGATTGTTTTTATGAAATCATAGGAAAAAAGCATTGCAATTTCAATAGAAACAGGGTAGAAAATTCTCTTTACTGGTATAAAATACACTATTTATACCATTGAGCTTGATGATCATGAAGCTACATAAATCAATAAAATCTGAAAGGGAAACGAGTTGATAATTAAGCGATTGAGGAACTATTCATCGATGCAAATTGTGCAAGCATGAAAATTCGGTTTGAAAATGTGTTGAACTTTTTCTGTCCAGATCTATAGATGATACAATTTTCATTTTTTCCCTGCTCTTCTCTCTGTCTCAAGGTATTGTATGAGTTTTCTCTTTCATGTTCACCATCTATGGGACTTTTGATCTCATGGATTTTGCATTCTTTCTTTTATACTATGTATCGTTCTTTAGTCTTTGCAAATATTGACATGTAGATATATATACAGAAATAAATAAAAAATGGGATAATGATTTCGCAGGTTTAATTCAAATTTTGAAATAGCTTAAAACTATTTCAAAATTAGGGCACAAATAGATGTTGCGAGCTGATTCAATCTCAGTATTACTATATGTCAAAAACTTACCCTAATGAGGCACTTTACGACTAATATCGTTGCAAAGCGAGAATAAGTTTTGAGTGTTTTTAATTAGGCTCAGTTCGATTTAGAAAAAACACGAACTGATTTCATCTCTATGAGTTATACAAATGTGATTCGTATTGTTTACACAATTCAATGAAGAAGACATACCACGAAGATAAGCAAACGAAACCCTTTGTACATTTACCTTTGGTTTCGTTTGGACCTTCTTTATCATCTTTCGCATGATTAGTGTGATTTTTCGTCACGGGGTATATCTTGAACATGTCATCCCGCCTATGGTTTCATTGCCAAGCGACCTTATGCATGTCAGTGTCATAATCAACACCATAGAAAAATGTCAAATGGAAAAGGCTAGTATTCGAGTGAAACTGAATATGACTGATAGTCAAACTGAAGCATTTTTTATTCAGTTATATGATGTACAGATGATTCTGTTACATATATATATATATATATTGTTGCAATACTAATAAGCCTTGTATAGAAAAGGTTTGAGTGTGGATGTGAGCGTAGTAGTGAAGCAAAAATTCAAACTTACACCCACTCTCGTAGGCATCCTGCAGTTTTTTTAGCTTAAAATTATTTATCAATGATTCGAATAAAAGATGATCGAACAGCTGTTACTCATCGCTGGAAAAAAATGAACACAACGAAAAGAGAATGAGCTTCGACTGGAATTCAAATCTGAGAATCGGCACAGTTGGTAACTAGTCAGA